GAGAGGCGGGGGCGGGGGGAGGAGGAGGAGGGAGGAGGAGGGAAGCCAAGCCCAACAACAAGTAACAACGAAGCCGATTGCAACTAAATCTCCCGGCAACCCGTCAGCAAACTTCTGACAATCGGGATCCTCCTGGCACATCCCATGGCCCGGAGAACCGCCAACCAGCAAAGCGCTTGCCCGTGGCTCATTGAACTGATTCCTTTCGTTAGTGTACGATGATTTGCGGCTTATTCGCCCTGCGGTCACTCAGTCACCTCGTTCTGTCTCCTTCCCGCCCGCTGCTGCACCCCAAGGCGTTAAAAAATAATAATCTCGGCACCGGATCTCTAAGGAGGTAAACGGGGAGAAGAGTCCAGCCCAGCGCCGTCGTGTTGCTGGTACCTGTTGTGGGTTGTGGTCTTGTGTGGTGCAGCCTGCCTCCGCTGTGGGTTGTTCTCCCCCCCCACCCCCACCCCACGGGGAAGGGGGGTCGTGTGGTCTGAAAGGGATTTCCACGCTTTATTTGTGTCGCTTTATACGAGAGAATACGGTACCCTCCCGCGCTGTCTTTAAGGGCTCGTTAGTTGCCATTGTCCAAAGCAGCCACAGCCGCCGCCGCCGCCGCGTCCGGAGGTAGATTGTGGAGTTAAGAGATTTGTGAATGAATCCACAGCCCAGTCGCTTACTACTAGTTTTTGGGGGGAGGAGGGCGATGGTGTTGGCGGCGGCGACTGGGAGGGGATGGGAAAAGCCGAGTTGGTGTAGAAAGTCCTTACGCGTCTAACCCTAGGAGGTGAGTTTTCCGGGAGGATCCTGGGGCTGCATAAAACGATCCCGCGACTCTGAAATCACAACACTGCTGCTGCCTCTTCGCCTTTTCCCTCCTTCCCGCCCTTCAAGTGGGGTCTATTTTAAAACGTAGTGACAGATCAGCGTTGTATTTTAAGATCGCCCGCTGTCTGCGAACACATGGCGCTAGAGAGATACTGTACGTAAGAGAGATACTAAGGCAGGCGAGGGAGCGAGAGAGAGGGGGGGGGACGACGACGTCGAGCCCTTAAATCAATCTTAGGAGCAGAAACCTGCTGCCAGCCCTACGATACGAAGGGGGGCGGGTTGTCCTTACCCGTAGAAACAGTAAAGATGGTAGAACAAGGAGCTTTGCGAGCGCCTTTAAGTCCTCCGTTAACTTTGAGGTGGGTAAACTTTCTGAGAAGTTCGCCGCTAGCGTGCTTATATATCTGTGGCCGCAGATCTTTTTAAAGCGAGAGAAAGAAAAGAAAGAGCGAGCGGTATTGGACCGCTAGGTGGTAATGCTGCATTTGGCCACAGAGGGGCAGTATATCGATCGTTTGCTGTTCCACTAGCTCCTTATCTTTGTACAGGCAGAGACTGGGATAAAGTTATACTGAAAACTTTAAAATTGATATCACACCCTAATTTGTGTTCCACAGGGAGGGGGAGAGAGGAAAAAAAGAGCCCAACAACAGACAGGGCTCTGCTTACACCATGAGAAGGGGAGCTCTTGGCTGCATTGTGGGCTCGCCCAACATTCAGCTGAGGATTTCTTGCTGTGTCTTAGCTCTTGCCGGAGGTCATGCAAATCGACCTTAAAAGAATGCATAAGCCATAAATTAAAATAAACCCCGAAGCCACGGGCTGATCCATTAGCAGACAATACCTAACCTGGACAAAACGGCTTCCTTTGCGAGCTGGACGAAAAGAGTAGTGCAGGAGTAAATGCAAAGTAAGTTCCCAGGAAGTATTTTCCTTCTTGCATTCATTTTGTTATTTTCTATTCTTATTGCTTGCCAGTCTTAACTCAGCCGGAGCTATGCCAAACGATTTTAAAAAGGACTTGCAGAAAATGTGAGTAAGGCAAGGTGCGTCTGAGGGAGTTTGGCTTTCCTCCTTTCCCTTTTCAGTGCTGCTTCTTGCTCGGTGTAGAATCTCTTTTTAAGTACGGATATGTAAAATGCGTCGGTGCGTGTATCTTTAAGTTTCTTTTAGCATTGTATTGTTTTGTTTAAGCATGGGCTGTCCTTCCGAAACCGCCTGCCACTCTGCGTTTGCATACGATCGTCTGATCAGTTCTGCTTTATGTTGTTGTTTCTAACTGCTGCGCTGCGAAGATTTATGTATCGTGACAACCGCGTATGTTGGGTTACCCGCGTCTAAAAGAGAGAGAACGATCGGGAGGAAGTAAGAATTCGTTGCCTGGTTCAGCGGTAAAATAGAGTTGTTGATGAGACTGGCCACCAACGCGTGTGTGTGTGTGTACATGCGTGAGGCTGTGCACGCAGCTGTGGGCACACGCAGAAGTGATGCACAACAGAACAAAACACAAGTAAACAATCGAACCGGCTTTCTGTTGGTGGGGAGACCTTGTGCATTTCAGCTTTTCTCCTCTCGGCGTGGAGCCGGTCAACGCGTAGGGTCCCTTGCGTGGTTGGCTTAGGAGGAGGGAGAGCAGGGCCTTGGGGTCAATCAGAGGGACAGATCATATCGATCTGATTGCTGCCGCCGCTGCTCCGCACAGGACTCGTTTCCCGGGTGTGTTTTTTTTTTTTAAGGACGGCGAGGAGAGAGTGCAAGGGGCAAATGTGAAAAAGCAACTGAGTGTTGTTGTGTCTGGATGTCAGGGTGACATTGCTCGGGCTTGGAAGCCTGCGGACCAGAGATTAAGGATGTCCTCTAGGGTGTTGCTCTAAAAAGCACAGAAAGGGAAACTTTCTGAGATAAGCAAGCCCCTGTCTCTTCCTCTGTTGCTATACAGATATCTTTTCTTTTCTTTTTTAAAGCAGCCTATCCGCCTAGGATGGGCAACTTTGAGCCTCGTTCCAATTTCCATGGGGCTGGGGTGGGGATGAAAGAAAATAAATATTTAAAGCATCCCCGTCTTTCGGTGACGATCTGTTCTCTAACCATGGGCACGTCAGTCCAGCGGTGCATATTTCTTTTATCTTTTGAAAAACTGCGTTGTAATGTCTGCAGAAGAGAAAGGACTTGGAGACACCGAGTAGACTTCCCTTGGGCTGAAGTGACTTAAACCACGCCATAAAAGCGAGTCATTTCAAAGTAAATGAACACAGCGTTTGACGTACAGTTTCTGTTGGGTGAAACTTTTAGGAACAGTATCTTGTACATGGGGGGGGGGGCTGCATTTCTGCATCCAGTTTCCTCATGTCTAGTATCCCCCCCCCTTTTATAACCGGTAACCATATCTAGTTCATCTTCTTTAAAAATAAAATTGATCGCTCTCCCCACTCCAATGTATTTTTAGGGAGGTACATATCTTAAAGAAAATAATTAGGTTACTTGGGTTACGTTTGCGGCTTGAAGTAGCCCGACACCTGGCAGAGAACCGCTTAAGCGTTTTCTTTAAACTCCGGCCTCCTTCTCCATAACTGCGTTCCTTATAATACATTCTTGTGTTAAGTGAGAAAGGCTGTTTGTAAAACAATCCCCTGGCTAGTCCCAGTGTTGGGCGAAGCTGATCCTGTAATGGCATTTTGTTTTGAACAGTTGCTGTAGTCGAAGTTCCCTCATAAGGTAAGGTGGCACTGGGTCTGAAAGGAGGTCCAAATGCCACATTTATAATTAGACTGCCAATTCAGCACATTGTATCCATTGCTATACAGGGATATACTGCTGTGTCTGGCCTCTCTCAATAAGCCTGTATTCAGAAGTAGCCAATTCAACGACTTCAACTTTGGAATCAAGATTTAGAACAGGCAGCGAGGAGGAGGAGGAAGGGGGGGAGAAAGAAAACAATCAGTCGCTTCTCTCCCCCCCCTCCCCAGCGTGCTATTAAAAGCCAAAGAATATACAGAAAGCAATCCTTCCAATGTGGTTGGAATCCATCTATCAAATGCCACTTTGGCAACAGACTTCCCCACCCACCCCCTCCCACTCAGAAGTACTTTGGAGACGGGGGCGGGCGACCCAACAAAAGCCATTCCCGTTTGGTGCGTCAGGAGAAAGAGGCTCCCTGCCCTGTTCCACGACACCTTTCCAAAAAAGCAGGGACGCTCAGGGAGCATAACCATGCCCATGTTCCCTCTAAGCTGAGTTAGTGTGAGCCAGCTCACAGTTTTTTAGCCTCCGGCTCACACATTTTTGTCTTAGCTCAGGAAGGAGGGCTCCAGAGCACACTAATGTATGCAGCAGCCAAATCACTTGCTCACAACTTTAACGCCAGTAGCTCACAAAGTAGAATTTTTGCTCACAAGACTCCACAGCTTAGAGGGAACATTGACCATGACACCTGCCCTATCGCTCTGAACACAGATTCCTGGAGAAGCCGGAGAGGGAAAGCGCGGATACCCCTCTGGAGGACGGAAGAAAGGGCTCGGAGCTGCCCGGGTTCTTCTTCCCGCAGCCGCCTGCGCCGCTTCCAGCCCAGGGGCTACATGGGCGCTCTTCATGGGCACTCTTCCGCAGAGGGCGAGGAAACCAGGTTTGCTGGGTCGGGAGAAGGTCATTTGCATCCTCAGCCCCTTCCCGCCAATCAGTGACCTCCCCGTGCCTGCGGAAGGAGGACGCCGAGGTTTAGGGTTAGGCGGCGATTCTCGTGCACGCGGCGCGCGCCCGCGCGTCGGGGGAGGGTCGAACTTCTCCGAACCGAAATGCAGCTGCCCTGGAAGCAACTAGTGCAATCGCGGGAGGAAGGATATGCTGGCGGTTAAGTGCGCCGGCCGCGGCAGGGCCCACGGGGAATAGGGGGGCGTGATTCGGCCCTGGGGGATTTTTAGGGGTTTTTCTGTCGAGTTTCCCCGCAGATGGCGCAGCGGCGGCGGCATCGGGAGGGTGAAGGCGCAGCAGCGTCTCAGTCCCACCGCGACATGCCCAACTCACGCAGCGAGGCTGGGCGGTGGAACTGCCGCTCCCGGCTGCTAGTCGCGCTCTCTCTTTCATTCATTCGACGCGCCGCTGATTGAAGGCAGCTCGAGTGAGTGAGTCTTCCCCGAGTCCAACGTTTCCTCTAAGCTGTGGAGTCTTGTGAGCAAAAATTCTACTTTGTGAGCTACTGGCATTAAAGTTGTGAGCGAGGGATTTGGCTGCTGCATAAATCAGTTTGCTTTGGAGCCCATCCTTCCTGAGCTCAGACAAAAAACTGTGAGCCGGGGGCTAAAAATCTGTGAGCTAGCTCACACCAACTCAGCTTAGAGGGAACTATGTGACCCTGACCCGTCGACTTGTTATGGTGCCAAAAACCCGTTTACACTGGATCGGTCCCACTGACTTCAATAGGACTACTCTGGGATAAATGAGTGGCGACTGTTGTACCCGGCAGCATATCGTGCGTAAAACCCCCCCCCCCCCCAGCTTCCAACGTTACAGTACCCATAGGTATATTCAGATATACCATTCTTTCTCACGGCCATTTATGCATATAATTAGTTGGCGTGGTCGCGAAGAGTCGGACCCACTGGACTGTGCGACCGAACAGCAACAACAACATTCTGTCTCAGTAAAGTTCATGCCTCGTCTGCTTTTGGTTGACTAAGACGGTTTGAACCATTTTTCTTCGAAAGTAAGCAGCATATAGCTCATGTAAACAAACAAACAAAAAAGATAGTGATATGCAGTCTCTTATTCTTATCACTTGTCCTTAAACACACACACGAGTTAACAACTGATATGATTTTGTGCAGTCAAATAAATGTGGATATATATTTTGGGCCAGGCTGATGAGCACGGGTCAGGTAAATGAAAGATGCCCATAGGGTGTCAAGGATGTGCCCAGCCTGGGCTCATGTTCACAGAGCAAGATTACTCATGGAGATTTATTTCATTTGTATTAACATTATAGTCCGTCTCTCTCCACTGGGACTCAAGGCAGATTACACAGATGAAGTCAATGACTGAAGCTATTGTGAGAGAACATAGGGGCGACTTGAAGCCTACAGTGTTTCCTTGGAATTACATCCTGTCGAAATGAAAGACCCGAAGGCCATTCTATGCAGTTTACTCAGAAGTAAGACACGCTGAATTAATGGGGTTTACTCCAAATTAAAGTAGGTGTAGGGTTTCTTAAAGTGCGCATGTTTTCAACCACTTCGCTCTTAAATGGGAGGAGGTTTTTAAATACTCATGGAATGTGATGGTATGGAAATATTGCAGCATTTCATGCTGAGCTCTTAACCTGAGACAAAATGTAGACCTGTTTCATTCATTTTGTATCCCCTGTTGTAGTGCGTTTCTGAAGTTTTGACCAGGAATATTTTAATGAGGGGTTAATGGGGATCAGTTCAGGCCAACCTCTGCCTGGATAAAAAAAAAATCAATGAAAGTATTTTGCATTCTTCCTGTGGAAAACATTGTAAAGAAGTTGAGGCCAGGTCTTTTTACAATGACAGTAAAATAAATATTTTGTTTCTGGTGGACATAGAGTAGTTTTTGCAGTCATAACCTTGTTATATCTAGTTGGTGCTTTAATTGCCCTGGGAAATAACCTCTTGGAAAGTGTATTCATTAATCCTCTGTAGTTGGTGTTGCACTTCTAAAATGTTTGGGCCAGAACAGAAAGATGGCTTCCTTTTATTTGTATAATAGCTGTTATGCAAAATAAAACTTTATAGAAGAGAAGTAATTCCATGTTTAAATGTTTTTCTCCCATAATCTGGGTTTTATTCGTAATGCACTCACACTGGGTGCATATTGCATATGGTTGGTAGTTAATATGCTGGTTGGTTACATATATTTGTAAAAGGCTAACATCTTACCTGATGAAAAAAAGAAAGC